ATGGAATCTCTCAGCTTTACTGTGTTTTAGGACTACGTGGATGCTGCTAGTACTCCCACTGAAAGGTAACTATGTGGATTAAGTCTCTTTCTGAACTCTGACGGATTAAGCAAGACGGATGATTAACCTAATGGCTTTTTAAAAAAACAGAAGGCCCAATTCTGGGCCCTAAGGAAGTAAAGCATGATGTCCGCAGCAGCTCTGAGGTAGGATTCACTAGCAAACTATGTAGCATCTACAGTGCCTAAACTGAAGGGGAAAGTGCAGGACATGCCAAAAATCCTTTTGAAGGATATTGAAAACGGCTTTGTAAGTATCCTTCCTCTCACTGTGTGCAACCCAGTAAACAGAGTTATTCCTCCTCTTAGAGGATCAAAGTAAGTGTCATTCCTTTTATTTAAAAAGACATTTCTAGGGCAATTGGTTTGCATCTGGTGACTTATGCTCCTTGTGTACACAATTCCTTAGCTGCAGCACCTTCATTGTGTACTAGAGTAGTTTCAATCACCAGCTAGCTAAGTGCAGTACATACTTATAATGTGGATCTTTATAGTTCTATGGTTTAAAACAGGTTTGAGTTGATACAGTTGCATGCAGAAGGGAAGTAGGAGTCTCATATTTGACTGTTTGTTGGAAACATAGCAAAATAGCTAATTACAATGTGCAAATTCCAGCTCAGACTGCCTGATCCATCATGGTGTAGTAAGAAACTTTGACTGCAAGCAACTTTTTACAGACATCTGTATATCCCTTTGTCAGTCTCCCATCTCTTCTATAAGTGCTAGAATGGAGCAGTCTACAAATATTTGTAATCCTAACAATCAGAATCTCTGAATGGCAGTGGGGGACACTTAGTTGAGCAGTTTTGTTTTCCTGGCTGGGCAATAGGGTCATTTCCCAATAACTTTTTTACATCTGATAAATCTCTCTAGAACTAGATTAAAATATGCAATAGTCTGATTGCTTTTATTAGTTGGGTAATCTGCTTTTTCCTCTGACGATACTCAAATGAAATGTAAAAAGCAAGTCCTGGCATAAAGCTAAGGCTAGCATGCACAAAGGCAGCATATACATCTGATACTGTCTGAGGTTCTATGACTGAAAATTTCCTTCTTGTGCTAAGGTGCTCCGTGCCTCAGATAAGTAGGGTTAGGGTTACCGTAAGTCCGGATTTTCCCAGACATGTCCGGCTTCCAAATCCCCGTCCGGGGGAAATCCCAAAAAGCCGGACATGTCCGGGAAAATCGGGACATGCGGGGCCGGCGGT